ATGGGAAAAAGCCGGAAATCTTCAGCTGGTTGATCGATTTCCGGACTTTCTCACCATCCAGATCTTCTTTGGCAGCAAAATGAGGCCGATCCTTGCTTCATGGAAGATCATATGTCGATAATCCAATCTAATACTTCGTATGTTTCGGAGTAGTAAACATTAAAGATTACCTGAGCATGTCTCCTTTTTGCAGTTGCGGTCCACTTAATGCGGGTGAGATGCTGAAAGCATTGCCGTCGCTGTAAATTAAAGGGTGGGCAAGAGACATCGGTCGATCGGGAATCGGGGGGACTTCGATATCACCTTCCAACATTTTTAGTGCATCCAAAATGGTAGGCCTTAAAGCAACCATTACATGAGCACACAAATCCCAACCTGCAGAAATCTCTCCATTATAGCCTTTGGATTCGAATTCACAGAATCCTCACTATCATCAACGAACGATCCAAAGCCTCATCGACTTTTCCAGCCTTCATCAACGACCAAGCCCAATCGGTTATCAAAACGCTCGCGGTGAGCTTGATGAAGACAAATCAAGAGCTTTTCTCCCGCACATTATCTCCAATACAACGACACCAAAACTGTAAACATCGCTCTTCTCGGTCAGCTGCCCATATAGAGCGTATTCAGGGGCCAAGTATCCATGAGTCCCTGCCACTCTAGTAGTAAGGTGAGACTGCCCTTCCCTACTCTGCTTCGCCAACCCAAAATCCGACACTCTCGCTCTCATATCAGCATCGAGCAATATATTCGTAGCCTTAATATCTCTATGATATATCGCAGGCTTCACTCCGTAATGCAAATAAGCCAACCCCTTTGCCACATCCAAGATTATGTTCTTCCTCTGAGGCCAACTCAATGGTTTACTCCCCGTTTTCAATGGGAACAAATGGTCGTCGAGGTTCCCATTCGGCATATAATCATACACGAGATACCTCTGACTCCCTTCTCATGATCATTGATTCCAATCTCATCATCATCGATCATACAACACCCTCTAAGAGGCACAAGATTCCTATGCTTCAAGTTACTGATAATCTCGACCTCGTTGCAAAACTCTTCGTCGCCTTGAAACTCTGATTCTAAAATCCTCTTAACAGCAACCACCGTCCCATCAGGTAAAACCCCTTTGAAAACAAAACCGAAACCGCCTCTCCCTATGAAATTCTTCTTCGAAAAATTGTCGGTAGCCTTCTCAAGATCATGGAGTTTGAACCAAATCGAACCTGTATTAGGCCTTAATCTAGGCCTAGACCCTTGCTCCTCTAAATCATCAAAATTAGAAGCAGAGCTACCATTTTGTTCTTTCCAAATCGTTTTTCATACCAAAAGTAAAACCCCAGTAAAGTAGAGGTAACAAGAACAGCAACAGCAGCACCAGTTAAACCAAAAACAAGAGCCGAATGTTTATTACTCGAACCAGATTTTCCATTCAAAGCTAAAGAAAAGCACACGTAACAGCACCATTACTTTCAGGTCCAAATTCATTAACAATCCCAGCAGCATAAAGAACAATGAAATCGAAACAATCGGTGCCGTGGGAACTATTACCATCGATCGAGACCAACCTGGAATGAACCTCGGTCCCGGCACGGAGACAAGTATCACAAGCCGTGAGATCACTGAGATCGGCCCTGCAACCTTGGTCGAGAGCCGTGGATTCACCTAACTTAGCAACCCAATCTCGAGTTGTTTGTATGTTGGCGCAAAGATCAGGCGTGATCACGAACTGCATCGGGTCGAAACAAAGGGAAGCGACGTTATTGGGGAGAGAAAGAGAGTCGAGCTTCGCCTGGAAATCTCGGAGACAAGTGTTGGAAGTAGGCAAATCCGGGAGCTGAAAAAGGGTTGTTTCTTTGAGATGTTCGGCGAGTCCAATGCCGAATACTGATAATAGAGCGACACAGCAGTTTTGCTTCGAGATTTCTGCTTTGGGTGTCGAGTTAAGTGGGTGGAAATCACGGCAAACAGATGAGTTCCATGGGATTCTCGTCACGTAATTGAGATCCATTGGACATGAAGCAGCAGAGGTGAAGGAAAGGGTTGAAAGGAAAACAAGAAACGAAACCTGTAAAGCAATGATCTTCATTGATTCTTCTGTTTATGAGTGTTTTTCTGTGTTGGATTGAAGATTTTGGGGTCTGGGTTTTGGATTCTTTTAGGTGAAAAAGGAAAGGGAAGATTGATTCATTGAGGAGGTGCGATACAGAGGAAGGTGAAGTTGATGAGATCGATGGACTGAAAGTGACCCATTATTAGTCAAAGCCTCTTTCATTTCACTCTTCTTTGGCAGCTGAGTTTTGTTGTGTTTCTACTTTCATCGGCGGCGCTTGTTAGTCACGTTCAACAGATTGATTATACGCTGTTTATAGACCGGGCCGAGTTTATATCTGAATAATTTTTAAGGCTAAACCACATATTTAGTTACTCAATCATTTGAGTTGTTCAATTTCGGTCCCCAAACTATTTTTTAATTATATAACGTTACGTTTTGGTCATCCACCGTTAAAAATTAATACAATTATTGTCGTTAAATTTTTAATTTTTTCAATGATAACATGATATTCCCTTATTATGATATATCATTATCACTATTACTTTTTTAAAGGTGTGTGATCAAAATAAAACCAAAACGTAATATTGATATAATTTTTAAAAAATAGTCAGATGGTCAAAATAGAATTGCATAAATAGTTAAATGACTAAATACATAATTTATCATATTTAAAATATGTATATATTAAACTTTATTTAATTTTTTTTTAAATTCATAAATGATTAATCTAAATTCATTTTCGTTTCATATATATTTAGGGGTGTGCAAAAATACCCGACCCGGTTGACTCGACCCGTCGAACCGGATCTAAAAAAACCGGGTAATTCTCTAAAAAAATTACCCGGCCGGGTCGGGTACCCGGCCCGACATTTCCCGGGTCGGGCCCGGGTCACAAAATCTAGTTTTTCCGGGTAGTGCCCGGTTAGATTTTATTTTTTTTATTTTTTATATATTATAAAATATAATAAATTATTTATATTATGGATTATTATATTTTTTATTTTGAACTTTTAATGTTTTTAAATTTTATGTTCGGATATTAGAGTATGTAATTCGAAGTTTCGAACATTTAAATTTGTGTATATATTTTTTTAAATTAATAATTTGAAAATAAAAAATTAAAAACCAGGTATCGGGTACCCGATTACCGGGTACCCGCAAAATCCGGGTAGCCGATTACCGGGTACCCGTAACATCCGGGTCGGGACACGGGCCGAGAAATCGTTGACCCGGAAGTTTCGGGTACCCGGAAATCGGGTACCCGAAAATCCGGGTACCCGGATTTGCACACCCCTAATATTATTATTGTTATTTTAGAAGTAATTATTCTATTTTAAATTTTATATAATTTTTATCGAACTTATTTAACTTTTAGTCTTTTATGTATTAACTATTGAACATATTTTTTAAAGATTTATATTATAATATTACATATTAGCAATTTAATTTTTAAACAATATAAATATAATAATACTATATTATATTATATTAAACTTATAAAATAAACTTCATTTTGTCAAATTCGTATATTGAATGTTCGAGTATTGAGTAAGTATTATAAATAAGTCTAATATTTTTGTCCGGACAAACCTTCAATGGATATCTCAGCCGTTGAACAAGTCAAATGGACGGATGGAAATGGCTTTGGATTGGAGCGTTGATGACACGCTATTTGATTCACGCCATCTAATTTTCTTTCCATGATTTTTAAAAGGGTTAATTTCATCCTAACTTATCAAACTACAATTTATATTTTAAATTCGTCCAAATTTTTTAAAAAATTAATTGAATATCGCATCATATTAATCAAGTTTTTCTGTTAATTAGCAATCGTCTTGGCTATTAAATTGTAGCTCAAATCTTACATGGAGCAAGTAGCATATTCTATGTGGATCAGAATTTAAATATTTATATTTATTTATTTATTTATTAGAAATTAATTAAATAGATGTTGTAAAGTGTTGTCGCATTTTATGAAAATTTTAATTTATTATATAGTTTAAATATTTTCTTTATTTTTCATTAATAATTTAATTTTACACTCATAAAATTTATAATTTTATAAATTATATTTGTACATTTGTAGACTTGTCTAGATAACCTCAAATATTTTTAAAAAAAATATTTAAAAATGAAGAACAATTAGATTTTTAATAATATATTTGATCACATGGTTTTTCTCTTACATTAAAAATAAGGGAAATAGGTGAAAATTAAGTTTCAACAGAGAAAATACAGTTGACAATATTGACATTTTGTAATAAAACAAACATCTGACACACAATATCCAAAACGTGGGTGTTGTTGAATTACAGAGAAATCATCGTTGAATTTCCTAAATATGTTGTAATTAATTTCATGATGACTTAATTGTTTTCTTGTAATTACAACTCTGTGTTTTTTTCCTTTTATTTTCTTTGCCTCCATAATTCTCTCATCTGTAAAAATAAATAAATAAAGTTTTTAGTGAATCGATTCATGTTGACCATTAAGAATATCGAATTTTAATAAAATTCTCTCATCTGTATAATAAATAAATAAATAAAGTTTTCTCGTCATTAACAATGGTCTGATTTGGAGGAAAAAAATCAAATTTATTTTGATAATTATTAAATTAAGATCGAACTCAAGTTCATTGAGTGAACAAAATTTGAGTATCCCTTATGTTTGACTCTACCAGCACACGAGTTCGATCAACTTCTTTTCTTAAAAAATGATTGATAATAAAAAAGTATCAATTTGAGTCAAGTAGCTCGAGTTATTGAGTGAACCGAACTCGAGTATCCCTTACGTTTGACTCTACCAGCACATGAGTTTGATCAACTTCATTTTTTTAAAAAAAAAAATTCTCAATTTGAGCTTGAACTAGAAGTGACAATCAAGTTAACTGAACTTTGAAACCCAGATTTCGATCGAGGTTACTTCATTCAGCTCAAGCTCGGTTCAACTCGGTTACATTCCAGCCCATCATTATATACCATAAAAAGTATGCATGTTTTCAACTCTAAATATGGACATTAGAATACCACAAATATGAGCAACATCAATACAACGAGATAGTTATATCCGTATAATTTCAGTTGAATCAAGGCCTGGTGTTCTTTACCGGAGGAGATTGTCGAGAAAGAAAAGGAACATTTACAACTGTCCCGGTAATATTTTCTCCGACAATCACAGTGTCTCCATCTGAAGCTGCTTTTCTCTTGATGTAACCTAAAGCAAAATGGTCACAATCCTTTCTTCCAGTTGTATAGCTTGTTAGCTTCCCCACCTGCAGGAATTTAAAGAATAGCTTAATGTAAATTAGTTTCCAAAACCGATGTTACTCGGACTTGGGCATGAGTGCGGATACGGGTATGTATCCGGCAAGTTAGAATTAGTATTTTCTGAACCTTTCCATGTATTTAGTAGATCCTTGGATATCATATCTCATATCCATGGGTGGGACAAGACGTGTACTTCAATGAAACCGAAGAGTCCAAGCAACATAGCCGTAAACTACCCAAAATAGAAACCATACATATCACTTCAGGGAAAGAGTCAGATTAGAACCTTTTTCCCACCAACTGTAATGGGGCTGCCAGGTTCAGCTGGTGCGGACAAATGAATACCCCATATTCTCTGTTTAACTCCATCATATGTGATGAGTCTTGATATTGTCTCTTGTCCCTTGTAACAGCCTTGTTCAATGGTAAGTACAAAGTTTTAAAAAAAGCATGATTTGTACTTTTCTCAGCAGATATTCAATGGTAAGTATTAGGTACCCTTGTTCAATGAAATCGAGTTCCAAAGGCCAGCCTCCAGAACATTAAAATCATTGGTTAGCTCCTTCCCAGGAGCTGGTCTTCCTGCACAATTAAGTTAGATTTTCCAAAGAACTTGTTACAATAAGTCAACCATCACTAAACAACAAATCAAGAACTACCACCTTGTGTAACCCTTAGCTTTTCCCAGGCATTAAAACCTAAAGGAATAGCACCGTTAGATAGAAGAGTTTTCCAGACTGGACTAGCCGCCGCTGGGGACATCAACAATGAAAACCCATCTTCAGAAATGATATTTCCCACCCCAACAGTTAAAGGCATACCATTCACCTGAAATTGGATAACAATCTTCATTTTGATTCACTGAAATAAGCATTAAACAGAATGAACTTTTACTATTTTCTTATCCCAAGTATTGTTTTGACATTAGATTACCTCATACTACTACAAAATATAGAAGTACAGAATAGTTCATATGTTTAAACATTTACAACTTGGCATTGGCAATATGAAGATATCTTACACTGTAATGACGGTTTGTGCCGTATGGTTGTCCAACAAGATCGCCCAGATTCAAATTAGCCATCACCTGTTTTCACATTACAACTAAAGTCATTCAAGATTACCAAATCCAAGCCAACAATTAAAGAGAAATGCCATGTAAGAATACCGATTTATACGAAATTCCTTACTTGGGAGCACTTCGGACCTGCTAGAGCAAATAAGCAAGTTTGCTTGGTGATATCTTGAATCTCTACCTTGTCAGCAAAAAATATGTACCTGGACAAGAAAAACTAATCACTTAGTACTTTGTTTTCTTCATAAATGAAGGATCTAAAAGAGATTGATGCACTTACTTATTTAGCATTTCAGTTATGTTTCCACAGGTCTCTGGTGAAACCATCAGTATGACTGACTTTTTCTGTGAAAACATAAACAAAACTGTAGTAATTCAAAACCAATCAACTAGAATCAATCCATTTCTATGAGGGGAACCAAAGTCATTAGAAATAGTAAAGAAGACTACCATAATCCATGCATAAGCAATGTCAATAGTCCTCGCTGTTGGTGTAACAAAAACTGTATCACATCCCTAAGAATTTCATCAAACAGAATCCAATCAATTTGAACCAAAGAAGCAAAAGAGAAGCAGGAAAAAAGGGTAGATCTATCACCTGCCCTTCACTAAGACATTCAAAATTGGCAGTGGTTTGGTTATGAAGAAACTGAATCCGATCATCTCCGCTGACTTCAACAATTCCATCCAATGCATGTGTTCATAAGAATAAATTCATAGTTAAGCTTAAATTAATTGAAGTAGTAAAATAAGCAGTGACACCGACCTCTTATCCTTCCAAAATGCGAAAGGTCCATAACCTAACCAATTCGTCAAATCAAAAACAAAGAAAATTATTGGAAATACTAGTAAGCAGTAGACGACGTTGAAATTTAAAAGTAGAATCTTACCGCCCACACCATTATCGAATGCATCCAAAGCTTCATCGTCATTGTCGAACGTTTCTATTATCCCTTCATCTGAAACCTTTGCACCTTCAGCAGCAACTGAATCCTGCAAAATTTTTAAAATTAAATCACATAACCATAATATTACTTTTCTAGAGATTAAAGGAGGCAAAGGGGGATATACTAGGAAATCATGGTCAATAGGGGGAGGGGAGAGTTCGAAAGGTAAAGCGGCGATAGTAGATGAAGCATTTCTCGACGAGAGCTTGCTCTTGTACTCTTCTTGGTCCAAAACGCGGCGTTCCGGTAAAAAAGAGGAGCGAGTGCGGAGTATTGAAGACGAGTGGAGGAGCGGCCAACCAAGTGAGCTGCGTAAGGCGTCGTTGCCGCTGTCGCGGTCGCCATTCCTTCGTTGTATTGCAGCGGATGCCGGCTGGAAAGTGGAAAATGCTAGAATATAGATAGAAAACAAGGGTAAACTACAATCATGACCATTTTATTATTAGAATATTTTAATCTGACCACTAATCTTCTAATTTATCAGTTAAATCACTTAATTATTTAAATTATATCCATCAAACAACGGTTATAAACTCCCCTAATCAATTCAACATTCCGCTCGTAATAATCCTTAATTTATAATTATAATATAAAACGAATACGCCAACTTCATGATGGGCCGGCTTTGACTTTTTTTTGACCCGGGGTAAAATTAAAAAAATGGACTCTAATTTAAAAGAATATTAAAAAAATACACAATATAAAATTTTAATTAATTTTTATTAAATTAAATAAATATTAATTCATTACAATATTAAAAATGTCAAAATATATTTAAGCATATTAATATTTTAAAAAACATTGTCTTCGAGCATTTCTTTATGCAAAATCATTGATGATAGTGTCAACATCAATGCTTTCCAACATATTTTTCTCAATATATAACATAGCGAGTCCATTCAATCTTTCTTGTGACATTATTGACCTCAAGTAATTCTTCAATAATTTCAGCTTTGAAACTTCTTTCCGCGGATGCTACCGTTACCGGCAGTGTTAATAACATTAGGATAACAATCTCTAGCTTTAACAAACTCAAAAACTTCAAGCACTAACATGAATACATTTGGCAAAGTCAATTGTAGCACTTTCATTTCAGAAAAAAAATCATCTGCATCAACATCCGACAAATTATTATGAGAAAAAATAATCTTAAAATTATTGCAACATTCTTTTAATTTATTGTCATCCAATTACTTCAACCTTGTATAATCAACTAAAAATCCAAAATAATTTTCAAAAATCTTTAATTGTTCAAATCTATCTTTCAAAGAAGCGAGCGTCATATCAACAACAACAACAAAATAATTAACTTTAAAAGACTCCTCTGCTGATTGCATTTCTTCATCGTGGTCATTCTCATCAAATTGTCTTTTTCTAAAAATACGATGTTTAGTCGAAAAAATTGGCTCTATGTTCATATCTAATGCAAGACTTTTAGCAATATATACTAGCTTCGAACTCCTTATTTCTATAGTTTTCAAAATATGACATTACACCTTCCAACTCCTTTATGGTAGTATCAATGCACATTGATTTATATTGTAATTTCTTACTTACCGTGTTGATAGCAAATAAAATATCATACCAGATAACCATTCCAAGTAAGAATTCAAAACTTTGAAGGGCACTAGCTAAACTTTCTACTTCACTTTTTGCTTTTGCATCATTACCACAATATTCATATAATTGTAACAAAGCTAACCTTATTTTAGGAGTATGACATTTAATAGCTTTGACACTTTTAATTCGACTTTCCCATCGAGTATCAGATAAAGATTTCACAGTTTCCGAAACATTATCACATAAAATTTTCCACCTTTTGGTAGAACTTGCGAACAATGAATATATGTTGCACAATCCCAAAAAAAATAGCTTTAACACAAGAATGTGCTATATCAAAAAGAGAAAGATTAAGATTATGGTATATAAAGCTCTAGGATTTATTTCAAGCAATCTCTTTTGAACACCTTGGTGTTTTCCTTTCATATTAGAACCATTGTCATATCCTTGGCCCCTCACATCATCAACGTTCAACTCTAGAGATTGCAATGTATTTACTAATTCATTGAAAAGCCCCAATCCAGATGTATTATCCACTTTCAATAACTCTAAAAAGTATTATTCTATTTTTACTTTGTTGTTTGACATATTTACGCATCGCACTATTAGAGTCATTTGTTCTTGATGACTTACATCAGGGGTACAATCAAGAATAACAGATAAATACATTGCCTTCTGAATGATCTTTAGAATAGAAGTTCTAATACTATGAGCCAAGAGAGAGATTAGTTCATTTTGAATTATATGACCAAGATAATGATAATGAATATTTTCACTTTGAATACGCCTAATATGGTCTTGCATAGGCAAATCGAATTCAGCAATCATTTCAATTAATCCTAAAAAATTTCCATTATTCTCATCGTAAATTTTCTCACTAGATCCTCGCAAAACTAAATTATTTTTAGCAAGACATTTTACAACAAAAACTATTCTTATTAAAACTTGCCTCCAACGTTCTTTCTCTTTTGAAATTCCTTGTTGTAAATCTTTATCAAGTGTTTGATTAGTTTTTAATCTCACTCTTAATTCACTCCAAATATTCATGGTAGTCATATGTTCAATACTATTTTCATGTTGTTCGAGTCTCTCACTAAGATGCTTCCAATCATTTAATCCATCATTTGCTAAATAACTCTTATTGTTTTGTTTGTAAACAATTTACAACAAAAACAATAAACTTTGTCCACATGTTTAGAATAGACCAACCATTTTCTATCGCTAATCTCTCCATTACTCAACTTTTTAGAAAAATAAGCATATGAAAAAGGCCTAGAATTATTGGCTAAGGGAAATTTCAAATTCAATTCTCTTATATGCCCCTTTTCAACTAAAATATCTCTAGATTTGTTATCAAGATTACCCCAATTTCTAGGATCATAAATGTCTACAAAAGGGACTAAGGTGGTGTTTGTTTTTGAAGAGGTAAAATGTCTGCAGTCTGCGGACCACATCTGCAGGCATCTGCAGCAGAAGAGGTGGACCAAAAGTCTGCAGTCTGCAAGAAAAAGACTGTTTGTTTTTTAACGTCTGCAAACTGCTAAAATAAACTGAAATATAAATAAACTGATTTTTTAAACTTAAAAGAGTTTTGTAATACTGATATTTAAATAATTTTAGTTTTACAATACTAAAATTTAAATAATTATACAACTACAATATAATTTTTTTAAAAAACAAACACTACCTTATTAATTCTATTATACGTCGCACATAATCACATGTATTATTAGTTTTATAAGTTTTATAGAATAAAATTTATAAATGATCATTAAATTATATGATTTTTTTAAATATGTAATTTTGTAATACTTTTAATTTTTTTAAATATATATTCATAATTTTTTTTATAATTATATGATATTTTTAGAAAATATTTTTTAATTTATCAAATTATTTTACAATAATAATTTTTTTAATTGTGATTATATTTTAAAATTTTAAAAACATAATTTATAATTTTTTATATTTTAAAATCTTAATTATCAAACAATGAAATTATTTTTTATTAAGCAATGTGGTTTAAATACTTACACTTTGTATAAAAAGTTTAAATATAATTTAAAAATAACAAATCTAAAAAATATATTTAAACTTAAATCAAAATAATTAAAATAAATATAAAATTTTAATAATATATAAAATAATTTATATGATATAAAATTAAATATCTATAATATAATATTAAAAAATTAATATTTAATTTATTTAAAAATTAATATTAAAATTAATATCTATAATATAATATTAAAATATTAATATTTAATTTATTTAAAAATTAATATTAAAATTAAAATAAAATATATATAAATTAAATAAAACCTCTTTGAAGAGGTTAGAAGACGTCTGAAGACATAAGACCACGTCTGCGCCGCGCAGACCACGCGCAGACGTTAGAAGGGCTTCTGTCTTCTAAAAAACAAAGGGTCTGCGAAGCTCAATGTCTGCGCGTGGTCTGCGCGACGCAGACATAAGAGCTTTGCAGACCTTACACAGTAAAAACAAACACCACCTAAGTGTTGATCAATCCCAACATCTTCAACATTAGACTCATTTTGTGCATGATTATGGACATTTAAATTAGACTCATTTGAAGAACTATCAAGATTATTTAAATTCTCAGTAATATCATTTAAATTTTCATTAGAAGACTCTCCTACTCTATTTTTAAAGAATTTATCAAGAGTTCCCTTTTGTGATTCTATTAAATCATCTATTTGTTTTTTTTTTCTTTTTTCACTACCAGACAAATGTTTTTTAGGAAACATTATATAACAATGCAACTAATGTAGAAAAGAACAATAACATCTGTAAATGGGAAGATCCTCGATCGAAGTATTTATACGCCAAATTCGCAACACCGTAATGATTAAACTTAAAAGGAAGATGAAGTATATGCATATCCACGTTTGACATTTCATATCCAAAATTTATGAAACAAAAAAAAGAGAATAAGTTTATCTATAATTTAGAAATATAAAAATAAAATAAAAGAATTTGAAAACACAAACTTACTTAGGATTTTAAAAATATCTTCAATGACCACAATTGATGATAAGTAATTGTGTATGTGAATTGTGAATTGTGAAAAATATGAGAAATTGAAAATTGAGAACAATAAGAAATAAATTGATTTTACTTCAATGTTCTCCTATCATTTATAGGAAATAAAAAAAAGTAATCGTTAGCCCTCTTGGCTCTTGGCCTCTTGCATTAACGTTGAACATCCAACAACTTGCATTAATTTACACTAATATTTATGAGTCATTTGGCATTAATGTAGAAATAATATATTAATATTTGTTATGGGCCCTTGACTCTTGCATTAACGTTTATAAGATGAGAACATCCACAAATTTTAAATTCAACTTGCATTAATTTATATTAATATTTACGAGTCATCTTGCATTAGAAATAATATATTAATATTTATGGTAACCGGGCCCTCGTGATCATGATGAGAAATCATTTAAAATTGAACATTAATATTTATGGGCCTTTGCATTAATATAAAAAATAATATATTAATATATATGAGTCATGCTTTTAATTTAATTTATTAAAATATAATAAATTAATATAAATCAAAATTATAGGCCCTTGGCCTGCCCAGAGCCGGCCCTCATGATCACATAAACAAAACCCTTTCTTGGATCATTTGATAAATCGACAAGGAACACGCCATTGAGCCAAAACATTGTTAGCAGGCGATTCAACCTAAACTCCAATCTCGTCCGAGTCGCCATTAATGGACATTTTCAAACCTTCTTCTATAAATACTCACTTCCAGGCCGGAGCATCTCGTTCATTGCTTTCGTATCGACAATCCCAAAGCTAATAACAAAGCAATAGAGAATAAGCAAAAAATGGTGTCTCAAACGGATTCGAACGCGCGAGAGAGTGTGATCGTCGTGATGGATGCTAAGAGAAACAAAGGGATGGTGGATGCGCTTGACTGGGCACTTAAACACTGTGTTCGCCGGAAAGACACCGTGATTGTGATCGGAGTTTTGGGTGAGATGGGAAGAAGAACGCTGCTCATTGCTTTCCGTTGAATATGGGGATTAACATCTCTGGAATATGTGAGTCTTTTTATTTACAACTCCACATGTTTGTTGAAATGCTTCACCTTGTTTATGTCTCTTCGCTGTTGAATTGTGGGGTTGGGACCCTGGCGGATATCGGCAAAAGAGTATGTGGGGTCTATCTGAAAATTTAGTGAACTAAATAATTTATTTTAAAGATTTTAAAGGGTTTAATTTAAATTGTTTAAAAAATTGAGGATATGACTTTTTTTTTTTTTGAATTGTTCAGAGACTTAATGAGAAGTTTTAAAAGTTTTAGGAGAATGTTTACTTAAAAATATTAAAAAAAATTGAACATTTTAAAGATATTTAAGAGTTTAATTTAAATTGTCAAAAAATTAAGGGATGTAATTAAAATTTCTAAAATTTTTGAGAGATTTAACAAGAAATTTTAAAAGTTACGGGACAGGGTTTACTTTAAATATTAAAAATGAAAATTTTTAAAATTTTGAGGGACTAAACTAAAAAATTTTAAATTAAGAGATTTAAGGAGAACTTTTAAAAGTTTTGGGAGAGACTTGATTAAAAATATTTAAAAATTAATGATTTTTTTTAAATTAAAGGATTAAATTAGTTTTTTTTTCTTTTATGATTTTGAAGGGAATCAATTGTTTAAAAAAATTTAGGGATCTAATTAAATTTTTAAAAGTTTAGAGAACTTAACGAGAACTTTAAAAAGTTTTGGGAGAGGGTTTAATTAAAAACATTAAAAAATTTAAAAAACCAAATTAATTTTTAAAGGCAATTATGGGTTGAATATTCCATCATGTGTGCCCATAATAGGCATGCTAAACAGGTACGTACTTTAAATTGCAGTGGAGAAGTTGGAGTTTTCATCAGGACATACAGAACTGAAACCCAGAGATCTTGGAGAAGAACTCGAGAGAAAAAGGGAACAATACCAAGCTATCCTTCAACCATTCACTCGAAAATGTAAAAGAAATGAGGTAACCCAAATCTCATTTTTTCCAACAAAAGATGGGTTTTTACCAGCATCTCATCTGAAACTTTGGGTTGATCAGGTGAAGTTGGAGGTCAAACTTGCAGCAGGGATTTGTCCCATAGAAATAACACTCAAGAAGCTCAAAATTCCAACACACGATGGATAGTTCTTGATAGGTATTCATGGCAACAATACACTTTCGTTGCTTCTATTTTGCACTTTTGTTAAGAGTGTCGTGCCAATAACATGAAGACGATAACTTCGATGCTCCAACAATTCTAATGTATATATATTCTTGAACGGAAAAGGGGATTGAATATTGATGATTGTTGTGATGTTCTTGATTCTTGACAGCCATTTGAAGAAGTACAAAATGTGTATATACTGGAATGTTGAATGCAATGTTGCAGTAATGAAAGGAAAAGATGTTGCCACTTTAATGCCATCGAGAGCTCCCAAGCCCAAACACTCGCCGGTAAGTAGCGAAAGAGCGGATGCCGAGACTTGGCCCGACGATCAACCCCTGAATGATCCAGAAAATGTGAATCAGAAAGCAGTCGAGGAAGGGGAATCACCTATACTACAAACTCCACGGGGTCCCTCTTGGTATCCGTTGCAATATAGAGCCGGTTTCCCTAAAGAATTTTCGTTGGACGAAATCGAAGAGATTACAAATGGCTTCTCTGATATCATTTGTGAAGAGGGGAATCTTAAAATCTATGAAGGTGTATTGGAGAATACCCCTGTTATAGTCAAATCTATTCAAGACGATGAACGGTTTTGGTCGATGCTTACGATCCTCTTCCGTGTACGCCATCGCAACATCATGAACATCGTTGGATATTGCCTCAGTGGTACAAACGGATTACTCATATCCGACTATCCGTGTTTGTATAATTTTGCAATGAAATTGCAATGTATGATACCTTCAACTTATTGGCGTTCTTTTATCAGTTTGGATTCCACAGCCTGAGAGCAAAACATTCTTAACATTGTGCAGGTGATATTTCTGCAATTAACCTGACTTGGAGAGCAAGGTGGTATACCGCCATTGAAATAGGTGGCAGCTTGCGCTATCTTCACGAAGAATGTCCCGATGGACCGATTGTTCACCAATCGGTCTGTTCATCTAATATCGTTTATTCCCATGGTTACTCACCTATGGTAAGTATATACAAAACTATATGTTTATCTCAATTTTATCAGAATTTGCATGCAAATTACTGACTGATTCATATGGTTTTATTTTACCATATTGAAGCTAAGTAATTTTATAACATCTAAGTGGCACAAGGGTGAGGTTCAATGTAATGGGAATTCAACTGGCAAGTAAGAGAACTTTTCTTATATGATGCTCGAGCTTGAATATAATGCAATTTTCTTTATATATTGGAACTTTAACACATCTGCTATGTCAAAATATTTGATATAATTTCTCACTTTGGTGTTTGAAGATGTCCAAACCTAGAGGAAGACAAAAGGGTTTATGTGGATGTACATGACTATGGATTGTTCCTTGTGGAGCTTATTTCTGGAAAAGTTGCAGGTTGCTTTCCACATGAAAATGAGGGTCAGACCTTAAAGGACTGGGTAAGATGTTTGATCAACTTGTTTCCTATGCTAAGGCGGCTTTCCTTTCGGAAAGGTGTTTAGTTGTGGTTTTGATCCTCGGATTTTGTCTTTCGTACCGCACTTGGGGTGTAGGGTGTAAGAGGTGCTCCCATGTGCAGTACGAGAGATAAATCCTGGGGTTAAAACCTCATACAGATCAAATACCGGACCTGTTGAGAGGTCTACGATCGACTATTTGTGGACAAGACTTCTTCCAAAAGAGTCGGAACCCATCAAAAGAAACATTTTCAACTGTTTTAAGGAGTTTTGCCATGAAAGTGTTCATGCATTATCATGTTATACATACGCAGAGGCTGATTCTAGGAAGTTTGTAGGCATCTAGCATTCCTGAACAGACTATAAATTATATTACCGGATTTGGGTAAATGTCGAATACATGTGTCTAATAGGGGTATATTCGATTTTTTAAGTTTTGTCAATGTATCGGATGCATAAAAAGTTCAGTGACAGAGAATATAGATGTATTGTGAAGTATTATGATCCATTGATGACACTCTTCTACTGTGAATTTTTAATGCAGGCGCTGCCACTGCTTGAAAGCGATTCAGTCACTCACCTGATGGATCCAAGATTGTCTGATAAAGATGATGATTTGAAGGTCGTTCATTGTATGGCTCGGGCGGCATTGCTCTGTTTGAAGAGTGATTCAGGCCGCAGTATTTCCATTAGCGAGGTCTTAGCTGTGGTTCGAGGTGATCAGCGTGCAATACTTCAATTTTGAACCATTCCAAGAGCTTGTAAATTATTGTTTGCTCTCATGAACAATGAAAAAGAGATCTCTCTGTAAAAAAGAATACTGTTGAAGGAATAAAGAGCAGCACTTTATAATTGCAAATTGTTTGCATATGAACATCGGGATCAAACTGGGGCAATCATCAAGCCCCGAATTCTAAAACTCTGTATCCGTACTTGTATACTCGTAATTCTCGGATGATTGTACTTGTATTTGTATTTTTGAAAAACTGGGATTAAAACATCACTGCCCGTTCATTAAATAGAATACATCAGTTACATCTGCCATACTTTCACCTTAAGATACTCAAAAAGAGTTTCGTAAGGTTATGAATGTTTAATTTTTGCACTAAATTCATCAAAACAGTATCCGAACTACCAACTATCCCTTAAAAAATTCTAGGCACACAAAAATTGCAGGTTAGTAAGACCTAACTGTTTCCGAATCCAGTAGGATCAAAGGGTGAGGAGTAACCATCTGCTCCTTTCTTCCATGATGATGCTGAGATTCCAATGTACAGTACTTTTTTCGGTTGCTTGGAGACAAAGAGCAACACTAAAAGGAAACAGGTACTCACCTGGTAAACCTTATTATAGGTGATCGTATAAGAATGAATGAAAAATTCTATTCACAGGTAATAGAGACTACTTTGATCAGACTGAAGATAGGTTGTCTTGGGTAGTCGGCCGGAATGAGCTTCCTGCAACTGCTGTAGATACATGTGTTAGAAGAGGTAGGAGCCATAGGCCCCGTGGATCTTGACATTGGTGGCCTGTCAGCAGTCATCCTCTCAGGAGGCTTTGCGACTGAATTTGCAAAGTTTGTTGCGATTCTATTTGCAGTATTTGCTGGATGCATAGCTCTAGAGGAGGAAGCTGGCAAGCCCAATCAAGCTGTATCTGTGTTCGCTCATGGTAAAGCTTCTGCCTTGACCTGTCTATTTGCTCCTTTACCCTCATCATGACACCCTCCATTTCGTTAAAGAAAGCTAATTTGGCTTCCATCTTATGGAACTGCATCGAATTCCAGCTTCTGAAAATTTCAATTTTGTCCCAGTTGCAAATCTAGAAAAAGGAGACCGCACTGTTTTTGCAACTAAATTACCTGATTTTCTATCAATGATATCGTAAGTTGCCGGATTTGATCCTCTTCCTGGTCTGCCAGAAGTTTTGCTTTCACTTCTGCCGCTGAGAGTTCTGTTACTGCAGCAAACTTTAGTTTATCAATGCTACTATCATCTTTTGTCTCTGTAGGGGCATGACTCTCATTTTTACCTTCTTTAGTCGCATCTGCCCAGAATAATAATAAAAAATGAGACAGATGAAAAAGGTACTTCTTATACTTGCCGTTTATGTTTTACTTTACATCGTAAAGACATTCGCAAGGTTGAATTTCCAAGCTACTGTACATAAAATCAAGAAAGATGGACTATGAATAACCTTGTAGGACTGAGTATTGCATCTCTCTCTCCATGTATATTTTAAACCTAACGCACAAAATGTTTATACATACTCCCACAAAATATTAATAAAAATTTTCAGTGCAATTGGCTTGTGAACGAAAAATTCACAGGAAAAAGGAAAGAAACCTGTGATTGCTCCATTTTCATTTGTAGAATTAGATGTGACTGGTTGCTGAGGCTCATTCCTTTCTGACGGATGAGAACCGGACACCATTTCAACATCATTTGATGCATCTGTAGGCTGAGCAGGCTCTCCACCAGAACTTGATTTAGCTGATTGTTGCTCATTCTTCGCTCTGGAAGGAGAACTGGAAACTGTCTCTACATTTTTCAATGTCTTTGCTGCCTCAGATAGCTCTGCCACTGGCTTTGATGCAGCTGCCTCAGAAGGCTCATTCGTTTCCAATGGAACAGAATCAGGCATATCTACTTCCTTTACTACCTCTGTCTGTTGAGAAGGCTTTTTTGATGAGGCTTCCTTCCCCCCAGTCTCCTCCACAGAACTTGGCAGAACAACGGTTGACATGTTATCCGATCCCCTTGTTAGACTTGGTCCATGATCCTTTTTAACTTCCTTATTAGTTGCAGAAGTGTCTGGCTCTTTCTAATCTGTGGATAGGCCATTGGATGAAGCTGATGTCACCTTTTCTTCTAGAAGAGAAGCTTCCGCATTTTGGTCAGCATGGTTGCTGAGACTTTTCTGATCCTCCTTGAGGCTTTGGTTTTCTGAGTTTTCGACAATCTGGGCATCCTGATTACCGGCATCGTTGACAACACTGCCAAACTCTTAACTGACATCAGAAATAAGAACCACAAATTGCCAAGGAAATATAAAAGCTTGAAAAGGTTTACTTACCTCTCAGAAACAGTTGGTTCCTTATTGACATCTGGTGGATCTTCCAAAAGAAAGCAGTTCCTTGCAGCCAGTTGAATGCTGGGAGAACTACCAGATAATGCTTTAAGAGAACTCCGGGCCGAAGCAGTAGCTATCTTGTGCCCAACCAGGCATGCTAAAAATCCAGCCTGCGAAGGAAGTACCATTAAGTTGTAACATCACCACTGATTAGACAGATGCAAATAATGAAAAAGTGGAATAAATCAAGAACAAACATTTCAAGAGAAGCTGCAAAGTCGAATTGAAGCAAAAGTTTTATACAGAAGCAACGAAGATTATCCATAATTAAGCATATGTGGGCAAGAAATAAATAAAGGACCTTGTATAGCACAACAACCATTCAAAAAGAAGCAGATTCAAAAAAGAAACCATGAAAAAGCTATTGCAACTGAGAATAAGAGCAAAATGCAACAGCATTTTGGATTTTTCTCATTCATTTGATGACCAAGCAGGCCACCGTAACTTTTACGTTGCAGGTTGGCAAAATATGAATGTAAATCCAAGGATGCTTGGTGCCAATTTCATTAACAATAATTACAATCAATCACCTAAATAGAATCGTAAGGTTAGTTTCACAGATTCATTAACTTAAGAATCAGGTTAAACTGCACAAAGTACAGCTACATTAAGTCCAGTCATCAACCTTTCCAATCAGCTTATTTCACGCCTTGACTTAAATCCATGAACAAGTAAGTATTCTCATAAGACTCAAACCTGATAAAGCCATTTAAATTATTCAAACACAAATAAATCATTCCCAATTATTTTTTAAGATGAGAACATCATTTCAGAAGCCGTGTATAAATTTAGAAAGTTATAGGAAGTTTCTTTTCCTTTCAAAATATCAATTGATGAACCGCAAAATTATGAACTCACACATTCAAATACCAATGCCATGACAGGATTTCCCACATCAGCAAATGAGAGTGTCCTTTCAGATGTTAAATCATAACCAACAGCTTCAAATGCCTCCCTTAGAGCCATAATTGCACAATTTTCATTGGTTTTTTGTCCATCTTTTGCTTCTTTGGTTTGTTCTGGCTTCGATGTTTCTGGACCACCTTTTACGTCAGTTCCAGTTTCAGGTTTTGACATTTCCTCACTAACCCTCACTTCTTTCTCATCTGCAGGTTTTGAAGTTTCCAAAAGTGTAGTCTGGGTGTGATCCTCTTGAGGAGAAGTTTCCAAGAGTAGTCTGGGTGTGATCCTCTTAAGGAGTCATGTTACTCTCTTTTGTTCTAGGGGAATCTTTAGGGACGGATGATCCATCACTTATTGCAGCAAGTCCAGCAATTTCTTTGGAATTGGTGTCTACATTATCATCACAATTATAGAATGCATCCTCAATTGGCATTTGAACAAAGTGCAGAATGCATTGAGCTTTGGTTTTTGTAGCAACATGCTCTGCAATCTCATTCCAGTTTTCTTTATAAAGTTCAAGAGCCTCAAGAAGAAGAAGGGTTTCGTGATCTGTCCAATTGCCACCACTAAGACCAGGTGCATCAGCAGGCTCCATGAGAATAAAATCAGAAGAAGACATTCCAGAGCAAAACTTCCGGTTATTAAAGCAATCAGTACATAAGTCAAAATCTGCCTGTGTCAAATACAAAAATAGTTAGCACCATAAAGAAATGTATCTATAAGTCGATAACTAAAAATAAGCCAATTTACTAAATTAGTTAATATTCTCCATCGTCATCGTTCAATTCATACAAAGCTTCGCTCAATGCTCTATTGTTTAAGTAGTGTGCCAAACATTAAACAATATAAAACAGACTTGCTTCATGCAGATGGTGCAAAAGATTCATGTTGATTTCTTATATGATGCAAACCTATTTCTACACCACTTAGATGGGAAGCGAAAGCTAAAAAGGCTTGTGGACTTTTTGCTATCATTTGGCCTAAGAAAAAGAAGTCATAAAAACTAATCTTTTAGTGGTAGAATTCTTTCTTGCTCCGTTAGAAATATAAGTCCCGTGAAAAAAATATATAACAACAAAGGGAGAACTGGACAGACATTATTGGCGCAGTTATTTTCTTGCATAATGCAAGAAATGTTTTGAGGTTAAAACTCATTAATCACTATTCACTAACCTGCTTCTGGCAATGGTAACGCTTCCGAGAGCAATCAGCTGAACATGAGTTGCAATGGTAATCCACAGATGGTCCCTCGGGTCTCAGCAAGTCATCAAAAACTCCATATTCTGGAGGAAACCCAGATGATGCAGATGGAGTTGAAAGATTAGGTTTGGGAACAACCGGTGGGCGTGATTCAATCACCTCAAAGTGAAATACCTTTTCAAGCATAGAATCCTTTTTGGCTGTCCCATCACCACTGTCATTGACCACAGCTGAATCAGCTGGAGGGAATGGATGGAAGTTAATCAAACCCCAGTAGTCCAGGAACTCCAATATTCCAACTTCAATATCTGACAGATCTTTCAACTCAATTTGTCTACTTGGATTCTTCATAATCCTATTACGTATCTCCAAGTACACATCAGGGGTACGCATTGGGGATTTCCCGTTAAAGAATAAAGGCAACACACTCTCCTCCAAATGATGAACTTTCGTCCATGAAAACCATCCTGTGAGTACATAAAAAAGGATGAATACAAAAACTGACGGCAG